TGCCCCGCCGCTGCCGAGAGAGTAGGTTTGCTGTGGGTGCTGAGCCACCCTGCCTTCAGTCCTTCCTTTGGTCCAGGAAAACCCTGCTGGGACATTGTCAGACCAACCTTTCTGTGCTTAAACAGCCAGCATTAACGCTTCGCGTGCTGGCTGCCCGCCGGCAGCCCGCTGAGCCACCCTGCCTTCAGTCCTTCCTTTGGTCCAGGAAAACCCTGCTGGGACATTGTCAGACCAACCTTTCTGTGCTTAAACAGCCAGCATTAACGCTTCGCGTGCTGGCTGCCCGCCGGCAGCCCACCCTCCCAATTGGCTGTGGTGACCAGCACAGCTCTCCCAGCCTGCGTGACAGCATGCCTTCCTCCCTGCGGTGCCCCGGGGTTGCTCCTGTACCCGTGACCAGGCCTGGGTGGGTGGAGATGGGGGGCTGGGAAGATGAATGATGGGGTTGGGAAGGCTGGAGGGCAAGTGGCAGCACGTCACTGTTGCAGTCTGGTCCTCCATGCAGGCAAGGGCTGTGGGGACCATGACTGGTACCTGGGTGAGGGGAATTTCACTACCTTTATCCCTCCCAGGACCTTTACCCCTCCTTGTTTGCCTGGAGGCATCAGCATCTGGTGCCCTCCAAGTGTTGTGCTCTGCTTGCAGGACTCTGATGACAACTCTCGCGTCTCCATCACTTTCTTCCGACTGTTCCGGGTGATGCGGCTGGTGAAGCTGCTGAGCCGGGGGGAAGGTGTCAGGACCCTCCTGTGGACCTTCATCAAGTCTTTCCAGGCACGTGAGCGCTGACCCCCGGGCTGGGCAGGCAGCCCGTCAGCACCAAGCAGAGGAGGAACGCTCCCGTGCTCGCAGGCTGCTGGCCTCAGAGTGGACAAGGGGCTTGTGCTGTGTCGGAGAATTGCCACTGTGGGTGGGAGCATGTGGAGGGGGTTCTCCCTGGCTGACACCATCATGTGTCAGAGCTGGACCTGCCAGCATCAGCAGGTGAGGCTGGGGTGTGGCCCGGA